ATGATATGTAAATTACTTACAAATAAAACTGCTGGGGGAAAAAAGAAATTATCACAGGGGAAAAAGAAACACTTCCCAGTCTTGCACAATTCTCAGAAGTGTTGCTATGTTTGAGCCCATTGTTATAGCCACTGGGTCAATCCATCTCGACGGGCTTTCTCTTATACACTGGCCTACTTTACTAGTGAAAATATAATGTCCTTTTCCAGGGACTGGTCTCTCCTAATACCATGTCCAAAGTACAAGAGACCAAGCCTCACTGTCCTTGTTTCTAAGGAGCATTCTGCCTGTACATCTTCCAGGACAGATTTGTTTCTTTGACATTTCATGGTACTTTCAATATTCTTTGCACACCCTGTAATTCAAAGGCATTGATTTTTCCTTTGCTTCCTTATCACTGTTCATCTTTCTCCTGTATATAAGTGATTGAAAATATCATGGCTTGGGCCAGAGGCACCTTAATCCTCAAGGGGACATCTTTACTTTTAACTAACACTTTAAATAGGTATTCTGTATCAGATTTGTCCAAACGCAATACTTCATTTGATTTGTTGATTGTTGCTGGCAAGGGCATCGATTGCGGATCCAAGTAAAAGCAAGTTCTTGACAATGAAATATTTTCCCCATGTTGCTTAGTAGTCTTGTTGTTGTTAGTGACACGTAGTTGCTCCTACCTATGGCGACCCCATGCTCAACAGAATGAAGCACCTAAGGATCCTGCGTCTATTGATGCAGCCACTGTGTCAGTTCATCTCATCACGGGCCTTCCTCTTTTTCGCTGCCCTGCTACTTTACCAAACCCGATGTCCTTCTCTATGGACTGATCTTTCCTGACAATATGTCCAAAGTATGTAAGATGAAGTCTTGTCATCCTTGCCTCTAAGAAGCACTCTGATCTTACTTCTTCCAACACTGACTGGCTTGTTCTTTTAGCAGTCCATGATACTTTCAATAGTCTTCTCTAGCACCACAATTCAAATGCATCGATTCTTCTTTGATCTTCCTTATTCAACATCCAATTTTCACATGCATATGATGCAATAGAGAACAGGTGATGACCCATGGCTTGGGTCAGGTGTACCTTAGTCCTCAAAATAACATCTTTGTTCTTCTATACTTTAAAGAGGCCTTGTGCAGCAGATTTAACTAATGCAATAAGTCTTTGAATCTCTTGACTGCTGCTTCCAAGAGCATTGCTTGTGGTTCCAAGCAAGATAAAGTCCTTGACAATGACAACCTTTTCTCCATTTATCATGATGTTACTTATTGGTCTAGTTATGAGGAATCTGGACTTCCTTACCTTGAGTTTTACTCCACACTGAAGGCTGCAATCCTTGATCTTCATCAGCAAGTGCTTTAAGTCCTCACTTTCATCAAGCAAGGTTGTGTCATCTACATACCAAAGGTTGTTAATAAGCCTTCCTCCAATCCTGGTACCACGTGCTTCTTCGAATAATCAAGCTCCTCTGATGGCTTGCTCGGCATACAGATTGAATAGTATGAGAGGATACAACCTGATGCACAGCTTTCCTGATTTTAAACCATGCAGCATTCCCTTGTTCTGGGAATGCACAACTGCCTTTTGATCCATGTACAAGCTCTGAATGAACACAATGAAGAATTCCCATTCTTCTCAAAGTTATTCACAGTTTATTATGCTCCACACAGTCAAATGCTTTTGCGTAGTCAATAAAACAGCTTTCTGGTATTCTCTGCTTTGAACCCAGATCCAGCTGCCATTAGCAATGATATTCATTGTTCTACATTCATCTTTATTTTATCAAATAATAATAAAACAACAAAACAAAACAAAAACCCTCATTGCCATCCAGCCAATGTCAAGTCATAGCAATGCTATAGGGTAGAACTGCTCCTGTAGGCTTCCAAGACTGTAACTCTTCACGAGAGTAGAGAGCCCCATCTTTCTCCTTCAGAGTAAATGGTGGTTTTGAACTACTGACCCTGCTGTTAGCAGCCCAAAGCATGACCACTACATCACCAGGGCTCAAGGTCAGTCATAGACTCCAGGGAGATTATTTATTGATATCAGTCCTTTCTTTTTTTCAAGGAAAATGTCTTCTTCTTTTTTTTTTTTTGAAAATGTCTTCTTTAAGGTACACTTATTTGGGGATACAATTTAGGTTCTCTTTGTTCTATCCAATACCCATTTTTAATGACTGTTCTTTGGCAATCAGAAGAGTAGGAGATTCAAGTGCTTTCAAAGTAATCTTTTGGATAACAGAGAGGACATATTATTAATTTTTATTTATATAAAACTATCAGTCATTTCTGACAAATCAATTTGCAGATAGTTCTAACAACAACAGAAAACTAGACACTAAACAAAGGAACACATGCTGTCAAATTACCTAGTTGCTGAACATTGTAGTCCTCATTCTTTCTTGTTGCTATTAGTTGTTGTTGAGGAACCACTGCTTAGTTGTGGGCCATCCTCAAACTCACTAGCCTGGCCAGACTATTGTGGAGTCTACTATGCCAAACTATGTCACTGAGAGTCTGCCATACCCACAGAGCCTTCTACTTCACCAGACATAATGTAGGAGATACTTTTTAGCGATATTACAATTTGAATCATGTTCATCTACATAAAAACCTTAGCTATGTAGTTTATCATATGAGTAATAAATCAAAGTAAAAGATTTCATAATATAATCTCAGAATTTTATCTCAGAAGCTTGTAATATATATTTTTTGGGATGATTAAAAATCCATTTTCGTCATTTCTGGTTCTTTTTCTAGGTGAAAAATTGCCCTTATATTTTAATGGAGAGGATTAAGTTATAAAATATGAAGGAACTTTAGCATGTCCTTTGTTTTCTATCAATAGCTTTCATTTTCTTAAACTGTTTTTTATTATATTCCAAGATGTTTAATTTATATTCAAGTATTAATAGAATTTAATTCTATTCAAGTTAATTCAAATATGGTGCTTGATGTTTTTATTAGTTTATTTATTCCTTTCTTTTCAAAAAATTTTAAAAAGATTTTTTAATCAAGCCCCCTCCTCCCCACTCTGTTTATTCCTTTCTAAGAAATAACAAGACTAACTTTTTCTGAATGGGATGTCTTGGGTTTTGATTTTTTTTCTCATAGCAGTTTATGATTTTTAGGCTCTACTCTTAAAACACTTTTACATGTCATTAATAAACGATCTTCCTTAGTCTTGATGTTTTTATTAGTTTATTTATTCCTTTCTTTTCAAAAAATTTTAAAAAGATTTTTTAATCAAGCCCCCTCCTCCCCACTCTGTTTATTCCTTTCTAAGAAATAACAAGACTAACTTTTTCTGAATGGGATGTCTTGGGTTTTGATTTTTTTTCTCATAGCAGCTTATGATTTTTAGGCTCTACTCTTAAAACACTTTTACATGTCATTAATAAACGATCTTCCTTAGTCAAGTAGAACCAAAATTAATTATGTTTAGCGTATCGCTATACTATGAAAAGGAAATATTTATAAAGTCTTGGAAGATAAAGATAAAAATGCTATGAAAAGTCATTACTTCTCTTATTCTTTAAGTTTCTTTATCTTTATCAAAAGTTTAGCTTTTCTTCCTAATTTATCTAATTTAGAGCAGTCAAATCCTGAAACTATTAGAATACCCTTATGGGAATAATTTATGAAGTCAAGAACTGTGCTATATTTTACACCAATACTTTAACTGAACTCAGGAACTTGGTAGGAGAGTTTTATTATTTCCTACTACAAATTAGGAAAGCCAACCATGAGGAGGTTAGTAGATGGCTCCTAAATAGATGGTAAAACCAGTGTGAAACCTACTGCGAAGCAAGGTACACTTTCAAGTGCCTATCGTTATCATCACTATTTACTAGATTATTTAAAATAACTGAGCAATAAAGATATTGGCAGCATGAAGTAACTTGGTCTTCAGAGATGTATACAATGAGTTCAACAATTAAGATGTAAGTATAAATGTTTCTTGTATAAATTCTGCTAAATTGCTTATTTTTGAAAAGCAGCACTGTACTTTTATAGAGGCACTTTGATTTGACAATCAGAACTTTGAGGAGTTTACAGGAATTTTGTTTCTTTCAGGTTTTATTCTGAGGAGTTCAGCATTCACTAAAGTGAATGAAGCCGTGGGTCAGAGAATGGCAGATTCTTATCTCTCTGCATCTGATGAGTACTGTCTTTCAGAATCAGGGCAGCACTATGGTATGTAATTAAAAAATTATAGTAAATCGGCAATCAAACTCTTTTTGGAGGGGAAAGAGGGGAAGTATGGTTAGCTTCAGAGAGTTTGCAAACAGCAAGTAACAAGTGACCAAGGCTCTAAATTATTTCTTACAAGAAAGAATATAACCAATGAAAAGAATAAGCAATTTTAAATGTTCTAAGTCAATTGCAAAGAAGCCATGCACAATAGTCTAAAATTGCTTTCAATCTTTAAAAAATAGCATGCAAATTAGAAGTTAATTTAGAGGCTAGTAGAAGATAAGTTTTATGTAATTTAATGTGTAGTTCACAGAAGTTATGAAATATATACTTGACTATTTTAATCTATATATGAGATTCTTATAAAAGGGAAAGAAGTAGAAAACAATGCAGAAGACTATGTACATTTTTAATGAAAAGAAAAAGCTAACTATAAATGTAACCTTAAAAGTTAGTTTTCTTTTATAATTTGAACTCTGGTTTTCATGCTAATGGAATATCAGCCAATGTACTTCAGGGATGTAAAAGGGGCTTTGGGCACTCACCAAAAGGCACACTTCTTAAAAACAACAACAGTTATATTGCATTTGATGATAACCTTTTTACTGATATCAGGCTGCCATTTGGTGTTTATTCAACACTTAGTATCACAATGAATGTCATTTTATTGCAAATGCTGCATGTGAATTATTATTAAAAATTGTGCAGCTTACTAACCTTCGTGGTAGAACTTTGAAGGTAGGAGTGAGTCTAATCATCTGGTGATCCAGTCCCAGGAAAAGTACAACTATTACTAGTCCCAGATGAAAAGTAACGAAGTATTCCTGGACCCTTTATGGCTGGGTCTCCTGATTTAGATTCTGTAATTTGTTGAAAGCAGCAAAAAGTCAGTGTTTGAGAGCGTCTGGTAATAATGCTTCTGCTGTAAGTTACGCTTTGTTTTATAGTTTATATGTGGCTTTACATCTTATTTCATTTCCTCCTTATAATAAACCTGTGAGGTATGCCCAGATAATTGCTAGTTGGAATCCTAGACAACAAAATAAGAAACAAAACAAAACAAAGCAAAAAAACAAACAAACAAGTAATTGAAGTCAGGGCTACAAAAGGGCAAAGGAGAGTGTTGTAGTATATTAAATGGGGAGTTCCCAGAAAACTTTTCTTTCTTTCTTTCTTTCTTTCTTTCTTTCTTTCTTTCTTTCTTTCTTTCTTTCTTTCTTTCTTTCTTTCTTTCTTTCTCCTTTTCTTCAAATAACCAAGGCAAAAATGTATTTTAGTCTGATTTTTCTTTTTGTGGGGAGTGAGATAATCAATTAATAACCTAATTTTCTGAATTGCCATACTTTGAAAGCTGTTGTGTCCACCACAAGAAACATCTAGAAGAGAGGGGGAATTGTCTTCACCACGACCTCTTGGGAAATACTCATCCCTACTTAAGGTTGCATTGGCCTATAAGCCATTAGCAACTATTGCCTTTCTCCCAGCTCCCAAGCAGTCTCTGCAAAACCCGGGATGGTAATCTGAAAATGTGCTGCAATTCATTCAGTTTAAGGTCTGCCCATCCTGCTGGACAGCAAGACCCCTGGGATTTAGCAGACATGTTTAACTGTCTAAAATGTTGAGCATCAACACATTGATATTTGAAAATGATTATGAAGTTTTAAATTTTGATCATTTGTCCTTTTTGTGTATGTGTGTGTTAAAAAAAACCTAGATTTTTTGCCAGAACAAGTCAATTATCAGCTGCATGACTCTGATGTTCAAGAATCACCTTATTGCCAGTATTCCACGGCCCAGTTTCCTCCAGCTTTACAGTCCCAATATTTACAAAGTCATTTCAGCACTTACAGCTTGGATCCGAATTACAGTGGTGGACAGTGTGGCCTTCGTTCCTGTGAATTAACTAAACCCACGTATGTGATTGCCCACCACATGGAAGATGGATACCCTGGAATAAAAAGCTTCAGACCAATTTATTCTCCTGAGATAATTAAGGGACAGGGAGAACTCTGCGTAGTTTGTGGCGACAAAGCATCAGGATATCATTATAATGCACTTACTTGTGAGGGTTGCAAAGGTAAGGATAAAGTTAAAATGAAACTTCAATTTTGGTCTTCATTTTAGCATGTGAGAATTCTTACTTTTAAAAAAATGAAAAATAAAACCAAAGCATGCAGCCAGATGTTTAAAGGCGGTCGATCTGTGGGATCCAATGTGAAAATATAATGTAATAAAGCTGAGATTCAATTTCCTTTTTACTCGATGAGAATGCTAACATTTACTTGGAAATTAATTATTTAGTTAGTAGCAGTTTGTCATGTTCCTGAATCTGAAGTTGGAACTGGGAATTCCTTTTTAAAAATGACCTGAATTTAAAAAGAGATTAATCATTTTTTTTCACACCCACCCACTCCCCAAATTAATCATTTTATTGGGGCCTTGGACAGCTCTTATCACAATCCATTACATCCATCCATTGTGTCAAACACATTTTTACATTTGTTGCCATCATCATTTTCAAAACATTTTTTTCTACTTGAGTCTTTGGTATCAGCTCACTTTTTTCCTTCCCTCCTTCATGAACTCTTAATAATTAAGAAATTATTATTATTTTCTCATGTCGTACACTGACCGATGTCTCCCTTCACCCAGTTGTCTGTTGTCCATTCCCCAGGGAGGGGGTTATATGTTGATCATTGTGATCAGTTCCTCATTCTTCCCCCACCTTCCCTTTCCCCTATGGTATTGCTACTCTCATTATTGGTCCTGAGGGGTTTATCTGTATGACCTGAATTTCTACTAAAATAATTTTTCATGAGGTTGATTTGATTTCATCAGGAGGGAATTTGAATGAAATTATGTTTTCAGATTCTATCCAAGTCTCTTTACTTTGAAATGTTTTTCAAAATACAAATTGGAGAGCTAAATGTGAAGACCATCGTTGACAATAGCATTTTCAAAGAATAAGACAAAATTTGATGGAACCTCGAGGTTTTAAAAAAAGCTTTTGCATTATTTTATTCACAAATGCAGTGTTGGGATAGTATCTGAAAATCATAGGTCACTACAATGTTAGGTAACCGTGTCTGTTGGAAGTAGATGAAGATTTGCTCTCAAGGTCAAAGCCAAATGAAGATCCTGGAGAACAAGTACTAGTTTGTTTTTTTTTTTAATCATTTTATTAGGGGCTCATACAACTCTTATCACAATCCATACACACATCAATTGTGTAAAGCGCATTTGTACATTCATTGCCCTCATCATTCTCAAAACATTTTCTCTCCCCTTAAACCCCCGGTATTAGTTCCTCATTTGTCCCCTCCCTCCCCGCTCCCCCTCCCTCATGAGCCCTTGATAGTTTATAAATTGTTATTTTGTCATATCTTGCCCTGTCAGACTTTAAAAAAAAATATTTTATTGAGGGCTCGTACATTTCTTATCACAGTCCATACGTACATCCACTGAGTCAAGCACCTATGTACACCCGTTGCCCTCATCAATCTCAAAACATTTGCTCTCCACTTTAGCCCTCAATATCATTTGCTCATTTTCCCCTTCCCTCCCCCCTCCCCCCTCCCCCAAGTACTAGTTTTATGAATAGAATAGTTAGGAAAGTGTTTGCTTACTTTTGAAATGCAATGACTTTAACTTAAAACATAATTGAGGACTGAGGCTTCGTTCAGGAGCCTAAACTGAAATTGTTGCTCCTTCAGTCATGCCTAACTCATGAAACTCCCACATTCAAGTGTGTCAACAGAAAAGGAGGATTTGGTAGGGCTCTATTAGGGGGATTGACTAACTTTATCAATGCTCCTGCCTAGGATGGAAGACATGTAAACTAGCAAGGATTATGGCAAAGGAACTGGTAGTGAAAGAGAAAAGGCAGAAGAAGGAGTCCTGTGCATTGACGTAAGGAGTGAAAAGAAAGGGTAGAGTCCTTCATACACATCCTGGCCCATCCAAGGTCTCAGATTAGAAAAAAAGAAAAGTAAGAACTCAGGGGAAATACTGAAAAACGGAGATGGTCAGCAGGACATGTTTAGAAGAGTGTTCCATCCTTTATGGGTTAACGTGGAAATATGAAAAGAAAATGTTTTTATCAGGTTATTTTACACGATCACTATTCTTTCCAAGGAGATGATGCTTCAGGGAGCCAGGATGTTCTATAGAACATGGTTTTAAAAATGCTTTCAGATGATGATGTATAACCAAAAATAAGAGAGGCTTAATGTGGTAGAATTATTTAGGTTGGCTTCCAGATGTAGTTATAAGGAACAGCATAGACATAGAATATAGCAATCAAGAAAAGATGAGAAAAATATTTTATTGAAATAATTTAGGTCACCTGAGCGCATCACTCCAGCCTGAAGGTATATGCGAATAAAGTGACATGTAACTAAAAAGCATTTCAATGTTTTATTAGGTTTTTTTCGACGCAGCATTACCAAAAATGCAGTATATAATTGCAAGAATGGAGGTCACTGTGAAATGGACATATACATGCGTAGAAAATGCCAAGAGTGCAGACTGAAAAAATGTAAAGCTGTGGGAATGTTGGCGGAATGTAAGTGCAATTATTTTTGAGGGACATCTAATTTTTCCTTACTTCACTGTGAACATTTACATATTTCTTTGGATTTGAGCTCCTTTTTTTTTTTTTTTTTTTTTAAGCAATTGCTGGATCGGGCTGGCTAAGTATCAGCCTAGATAATTATTTCCATAAATCCTGCTCTATAATCTATTGCCCTACTTTTGTCAATAATTCATTTTAATCGAAAATCCTTGTTTTCCTTATGCTATGCAACCTAAACTTATATAACATATCTAGAAAGGGGTTAATTCAAAAATAATAGTAACCTTTCTTTAGTCTTGTATCTTTGTTTATTTTAAAAAGTTAAATTGTATATTATGTGGGGGCTTACACTTCAGATCACTCACATTGCATTCAATAGTCCATAGCATGAATCAAGCCCTCGAGGAGTCTACCCCTAAATACTCTCCATCCTCCCCCTCCAGGGACCACCATCCTTGTCAACCGTCCATCCCACACCCGCCTTGGTAACTTCCAAAGTCTGTTCTCTGTGGTATGAGAGACTTTATCTTTTTTTCCCCTATCTCCTGTATATTAGTGGTCACGTGTAATAATTGTCCTTCTGTGATTGGCTAACTTCACTCACTATGTTCTCCAGGCCCACCAATGTTTTGAGATGTTTTATGGTTTCATCATTGTTTTTCAGCGATGCATAGCATTCCATTGTGTGTATGTACCAGTTTTTTAAAAAATTAATTCTTCTACTGATGACTATTTAGGTTGTTTCCATCTTGAATCTTTAGTAGCCAGTAGGATACTTAGTAATAGTTCAAAACCAATGTTCACTCTGAGGGAGAAACACGCGGCTTTCTACTCTCAGAAGAATTAGTCTTGGTAACTTACAGGGGCAGGTTTTACCCTATCTATAGGGTCACTATGATTTGGCATCAACTCCATAGGTAACAGTGAGTTTTGGTTTGGAGGATACTTAGGGGTGAAGAGTTGACTAACAATGAGCACACAGGTGTTCAAATTCCACTCAACAAGCAGAATAGTACCTAAACTTTTATGTGCCTTCTGTGCACT